TAAGAGCGTAACAAGCAAGATGCTTAGCATTGTTTTGTGTTAAGTGTTGTCTGAATGAATTGATAGTTTGTGGTTCTCTTAATAAGGGTAATTGAAAATAGTCAAGATATCTATTGTAGTATATATCTAAATCATAGGGGTCTAGTGATGTTGATAATGATTTAGATAAGATTTCTTCTGTAGGGGCGCTCGCCGTTTTACGCTCATCTCTCACAGCTGCGAAGGATTCTATAGTCTGCCATGTGCGTTTGGTCTGACCGTCATTATACTGGTCCTCCGCATAGTATAAATTATAATCTAAAAAAATCATTTAGTTAGTAAACAGTTTTAAAATTACGTATAAATTTTTATAATTTAAAAAAAATTATTTTGTTAGTAAATAGTTTTAAAACTATATATAAATTTTTATAATTTAAAAAAAAATATTTAGTTAATTTAAACAGTTTTAAATTAATTCTTGAGGTAAAAATAAACAATAAATCGAATATTATAAATAATAGGTTAATATATTATAAATAGTAAGTTTATTATTTATAATAAAAATCTTAAAATAAGTAAATAATAAATCAAATATTATAAATAGTAAGATAAAATATTATAAATAGTTAGTTGATTATTATTTATAATAAAAATCTTAAAATTAAGTCAATGAATAGTTGAAATGAATAGTTAAAATATTATAAATAGAAAGTCGATTATTATTTATAATAAAAATTTTTAATAAACAATGAATAATAATTTAATAAATAAATATTAAAATATTATAAATAGTAAGTCGATTATTATTTATAATAAAATTTTTAATAAAATCAATAAATAATAATTAAATAAAGTAATCTATTTGTGACAAAAATATTGATGAATAATAATTAAGATTCATTTAAGTAAAGTTTATAAATAATAATTATAATTTATTTATATTTGCGGCAAAAATATTAATGAATAATAATTAAGATTCAATTAAGCAAAGTCAATGAATAATAATTAAGATTCATTTAAGCAAAGTCAATGAATAATAATTAAGATTCATTTAAGTAAAGTTAATAAATAATAATTAAGATTCATTTAGATATTTTTTGTTAATAAAAGCTAACTTATTTGCGACAAAAATGTGATATTTTAAATAATACATAGAGCAATGGATAATAATTAGTTGAAAAAAACTATATATTTATGTTTATTTAATTTATAACATTTTTTTTATCTCAACTCAAATTTTTATGATGAAGTCTTTACAGCCATCCTCATCTACTTCTAAAACATCAACAACTAATATTACCTGTTCAATATGTAAAAAAGTCTTTAAATCAAATCGTGGTTTATCATTACACAACACTATAGTTTAAAAATATAAGAAACGTAAACAATTAAAAACTTTACCAAAAGACACTGTATTAGAATTTAAAGAAATACTAGTATGGTCAATTCATCGCAAGCTTTCTTCTAACTTCAATAAAATGGAAAAGCAAATAATTTTACTAGCTTGCACTGAAAGTTATTTATATACTATTTTTAAAGGCTATATTCACTATTATTTACAAAAAAAAATATTACAAATGTATTTTTCATAGACTATTAGCTTATACTACATTAGCAAAAATTCTTAATACAAAAAAATGGGGCCAAAAATTGTATACACAAAATCAACAAACATATGTTGTACTTGATAGTTATAATGAAAATGATGAAATAGATCCTTTAATAGAATTAGAAAATCGAAAGCAATCTATTTATAAAAAAAACCTAAATTACAACGTGGAGAAATTTTAGTTGAGTGGAAACAAAATAAAATTAAAGAAGAAGATAGTGTTTTTTGTTCAGGATTTATTTATATTAAATTTTTTATATCACAAAAAAGGATATAATTCTATTTTATATAAATTTTTTTGAGTTTTTTAATTTTTAAAGAAATTTCATTATATGAATAATAAAGTGTTCTATTTTCATATTCTAAAATTTCTAAAATTGCTGATTTTTTTTTTTGTGGATGTCCACCATTTTTTAATATTTTTTTAAAAAATTGAGATACATGCTGATAATTTTTTTTTCTACAGCTAAACAAGAAAAGGCTTTTAAACCCCATTGTTGATGTTTTTGAAGCAATTCCCAACCATGATATACAAACGCATGAATATATGATGTTATATGGCTTGGTAAATATAATCCTTTTATAATTTTTTGATTATTATTAGGATCTTCCATATCTTCTATTAAAAATAATTCTAACCATTCAAAAGAAACTTTTTAAATTGCAAAGGATTAGTTTTCTTATCTTGAATTGCTTTATATAAGTTATAAAAATTACTCCACAATTTTCTAATAAGATATGCACGTGATTTAGAGAAAAGAAGCTCCAAATTAAAGAATCGTAAAACTTTAATTTTATCATCTCCCATTAATGAGGTATGTTTTCTGGCTCCTGAATCTTTATCTTTCCAAAATAAAAAAGGAACATGAAGATGTTTCATTTCATTTATAATGACATTACATGTTAAATCATTATAAATATTTTTTTCTTTAATTTCAGCTAATACTAAATCCCAAAGACGATCTGTTATTCGTAATAAGATATGTAATTCATCAAATACTATATTGTCTATAGAGATAATATCAAAAAGTGATGCATTTATATGTCCAGGAGTATTTTGATAATTTTCATTAATTATATCTATAGTTTTGGTTATTCTCCAATCTTTTGATAAATCTCCATACTGTTGTTTTGAATATAAACACTATGGACAAATATAAAGAGAATTGGCTGCATTTAATCCTAAACATATTGCTAGAAATTTCCAATCAGAACTAAAATATAATTGAAATTTCCAATGAGTATTAGCAATAATTAATCCATTTTCTTTTATAGATCATAAATCATTAAGAAATTGTTCCATTGTAATTTTAAGCGTATTATAATCTTCAGCACCAGAATATAAAAGTACTGTATAATGGTTATCCAGATTATGATGATGGTTTATATCATTTAATATCATAAAAGTTACCATAACATGTTTTATCTTGCGTCCAACATTTCTACCATCACCTGAAATACGCAAATAGATTGTAGAAGAGCTTGAAAGAGTGCCATTATCTTTTAAATATGGTATTACATAAGCAAGAATATCCTTAATATTTCTTTGAGCTTCTAATTCTAATATATTTTTAGAATTAGTAGTATTACCTTCTATATTATTTTCAGATTTATTTGTAGTTTCTAAATTATTTTTTAAAGATTTATTATTACTAATAACTGATGTTTTAATTTTTTTATTCATTTCTTCAGTTAAAGCTATTCTTGTATTAGATATTGCATATTCTCGAGATATATAAAAATTAATTGCTGCAAGATCTCATAAGCATCTCATGAAATTTGCCCCTGATCAATTGCTTGTGCTATTGCTAAATAATTTTTTTTCTCTTTATTAAAATCAACATGAAAATTATGTTCATTAACTGAAAACTCTAATGCTTTTAAAACTACTTGATCATCATTATGGTAGAATTGTATTGCTTGAAATTGAAATATTTGATTTATTAGTTTATCAAATTTATGAGCACGTTTTTCAAGTGTAGATTTGCTGCATTGATTTATAGGTTTTAATTGTCTAATTGTTTCTCGTGCAATTTTAACTGATTCTAACTGTAGTTCAAAAAGATATGAATCTGGTAATACAAAGTCTTCATTAAAACCAAAAACCTAATAAAAATAAATAATATATTAATATAATATAAAATAATATTATATATTTTATAATAAATATTATTAAATAACAGTAATTTAATAATTTATTATAAGCTTACTTGTTTAAGATTAAATATAGCATCTGATGCTGAATAGCTTATTATTTGATTTTCAAAATTTCGTTCATATAATATTTTAAATTGAGGATTTTTATTTATATAATTTATTTTACTATATATAGTATAGTATTTTTATTCCACGTATAAGATATTTTAAGTGCATAATCATTTGGAATTTTATAAATTTGAAAGCAATGCATATAGGCTAGTTCTTTTAGATAAAATCCTTCTTTTTCAATAATATACATAAAATTATAAAGTATTTGATTATTTTGTTGTTCTTTATAATATATTGTTTTTTTTTCAGGATAACATGAGATCTCTAAAATTTTAGCTATTGTAAAAAAATTATTATAATATTTAAAAATTTTTTTGGTATTTATATAATAAAATAAATTATATTTGGTATTTATATAATAAAATAAATTATAATAACTATAAAAATTTGAATAAATACAGATTTAATTTGTAGTTAAAAATAACAGTTATAGTATTGCATATTAACAATAATATCATATTTAATCTTTAACTCGTTAATTCAAAAGTTATACCAATTGGTCTAATAATTTTTTTATTTGCATTATTATAATATAATTAATAAATTTAATTTTATATAACATTAAAGCTGTTAAAAAGCACATTGAACTCAGTCTTTGAGTCAATTTTATATGTTAATTCAGTTATTCCAAACAAAGACAAATTTAAGTATTTGTTCTAATTTATAATTATATGATTAGTTAATTTACAACAAAATTTATTTGTTTACAATCAATATAGTATATTACATAGACTTAATTCGAGAATTGATTTGTTTTTTTTTTTTTTAAATCAAAGTTTCTTCAAAGTTCGGACTAAAATTATTAGACTTTTAACAGCTCTAATTGTTATATTAACTACTTATAATTAATATAACTAAATTTATTTATATTAAATAAATAGTATAAATAAACCTATTAATTGTAGTATTAAAGCTAATCTAGCAATATAATAACCAAGAATTTTTAGATTAGCGCTTTAAAGTAAATACTTTATTATGCTAATATATATATTTAAGAACCAGTATATATTATATTTAATTATTTTTGAGTTTTTTACAATAACTAAATAAGAAAAAAAAAATATATAGGAATTCTATTTAACAAATAAAGATGCAACTATAAAGTATATAATGATAAATTAATAGTTATAAGCCATATAATCAAATACTAAACAGAGTTTAAATC